TTCTTCAATTGTCCACTAGCGTTGAATGGTTAGGAAATAGCCAATCAACACACCCTAACACAATCCTTCAAAGAACGTGCTTTAATCCAATATATATTCAGCTAACACTCAGATAGCTCAGTATAAAACTCTCAGCCTATAAAACTTTGTGATGCTGACTGGAATCCTACTTGAAGCATTCGTTTTTCCCATGTTTCAAGTATGTCTTGACACTCAGTATGTGGTTGTATTAAATTTAGATTTAGGGGTTTCCTAAAGTTAGGATCACCACGTAAAACAATCGAACTCAGAATGCTCAATATTCGATTTAGTCGATGTTTCAGCATTTTGGTTTATTTACAATACACCACGACCATCCTTTTTTATCATTATAATGGAACTGTCCTTGTTCTCTACTTGATTTAACCCTATTGTTAAATTTTTTTTTCACTACAGCTTTAAGTTCTCATACTCGTAGAGCTAGTGATAAGTTATCAGAAGATCATCTCTCTGTATCCTGTTTGTAATCAAGATTACTTTCAACGTGATACAGATAAATATTTATAAAACCAGTTTACATTTATGATTGTTTTCTCTACTTATCTCTTTTTTATAATAGCAACAATTAATTGAATTTAGTGATCTTTGTCGTATATTATCATTGGATTGTGGAGATAGTACAGTGATAAATGTAGCCCAGGTTGGTGAGTTAGCTGGTCGTTTATGTGGATTATGCACGCCTAATAATAATAATGCTATAGAATATCTTATTGGTCGATGGATCGGTCAGATTAAAAAAGTATCATCAGTTCACTTAACTGCTTCATCACCAACATTACTGTTACAATCTTCAACATCAGTATCGTCATCATCTACTGTCTGTGATATGCCTTTACAAATTAATGATAATAATAATGATATCAACCAGTTATTAAATATTGATCATAGAAATATATTAACTGAAGTTGAGAATATCACATCTGTTAGTCGAGGAACATCGTATTTTACCTTGCATATAGCTGAATATCTACGGGTATGTATCAATTGAGTTTTAGCCATAGCTGATATACTTGTCCATTGATTTCCTGTGAATATATCTATCTAGTGATCAAAATTATTAGTTGACTCATTTACCTTTTACACATGTTTGTATATTCGACTGTCTAAAGAGTGATACTGCTACTGCTAACCATTTAAATTGGAGTAGATAAAGAAAGGCTCAAACTGATGATTGAATTGTTGGAAATTGAATGCTCTAATTAACTAAACAGTAATTCATGTAGTTGCCCTACAGTAATCTAATTTGTATAAACATGATCAGTTCTGTAAAATAGCCATTAAAGAAAAGAATTGCTGTCAAAAAATTTTATACACACTACACATCTCGGTGTAGTAAAGATTTTACGTGTAAAATACTCGATTTTAAACCATATTTTAATCTCAGCAGCTAAGTAATGTTACAGATAATTAATGATATGACTCGAAAGTGAATATATGGTAATGATAATGTATGGATTCATGCAAAATTACAGTAATATATAACTAATGAATACTTCAAAGTTTAGAAATTAGTATGGAGAGCTATATCATTATTAGCACAGATGGCCCAGTAATTACATTGTATTTATTGGTACTTATTCCGTTATAATTAACATTTATATGGCCCCCAAATGCCCTGGTACAGCCAAGAGTGTGGAGAGTCCGCTCTCCTTCTCGAAATGTTCTCACATGGCCACGCGTATTATAGCCTCTGCCAGGGAAGTCTTACTGCCTTCTCGTGACAGGGGTGTTGTTTACGAAAATGAGAGGACGAAAAGCGAATGTCCGGAGCTTTAACCGGATTCCAAATCAATGGTGCACATAGGCTCCAGTATCCTGTGGGAACAAATGGCGTATGAACCAATTGTTGGTCACCGGCTACCATGGAACTGCATCTCCTTACGATGCTCCACTGCCTTGTGGATCAGACCTTCATGTCGAAGGCTCGGGGAGTGGCCCCCTAAGAAAACCACCTGCTTCGGTTTGGGCAACCGGGCAGTATCACAGCCCTCACACATATCGAATGAGATTTGTGTGGCGCATATATATTTGGTGCCTCCTTGTACCAATATCTTTGTGTTAAAATAAATAAATAAATAAACATTTATATGTCTATTACTTCGCTTATCATCCGACAATATTCATCATTCAAATAGTAAATTGCATTTCGAAAAAATCAAATCACCGTTGAACAAGGAAATTTGTTTAGAATCTTCACATGTCACGACTTTCCCACAATTACATTAAAATACATGCCTCCTATAGAATAAACAGAAGGCTAAAGGATTAGAAGCAAAGATGTATGGTGGCTAGCAGTGGAATCCAGGACGCACTTCCTTTTTTATTTGGAACTCGCCAGCTGAATGTGCCAGCATCCCACAGTTGATTCCCACTCCAAGACTTGGACCCAGTACCGTTCGCTTTAACTCCAGTCCTAAACATCAATGGGAAAACTCGAACAACCAATACAAAAATGAATTGAAACTTCACTCCATTGCATATACTAGTAGCTATTTGGACTCAATAGCTAAGTGGATAACGCTATGGCGTTTGAAGCGAACGGTACATACAGCTGGCGAGTTCCAAATAGGACGAAACATGCGTCCTGGATTCTACTATCAGCTACTGTCCACCTCAGCTTATAATGCTTGTGACTTAAGGCATTATCGAAACAATTCGCACAAGATGCACATATACCAATATGAGACTGATCAGTTGCAGTCCTAAACATCGAAGAAAATTCAAACAACCAGTACAAAAATGAATTAGAAATCGAAAGGGATAGAAATGCGTAACATTATTAGACTTTAAAGTATTTCAGAAGAAAATTTATTCATGCATACATATCGTTTTCATTTATTTATTTAACTGTTTACTTATATTAGTCTTTAGTTGAAATTGGTCGTCAGTTGTATTCACCACGTCTTATACGTACACCATCATCATTTGATGTATTATTCAATGCGTTGCATTTAGTCAATTGTTCATCAAATCAACACAGGTTTCAAGATAACATTCTGTGTCTCATTTGTGGACGCTTATTATGCAGTTTATGCAGTAATTTAGCTACCGTTGTTGTTGAAGTAAGTACTTCTAGATTCTTTCTTTTGCTTTCTATATTTGTCTTATGATATAACGGATGGATTGAAATATTTTTCTCTAAGTGATATGCTATTTACTTATTTACTCCTGTTACTCCTCATGGAGGACCATAGGCCACCCAACAGGATTCTCTAACCAACTCTGTCCTGGGCAATCCCTTCCAGTTGTTATTCATTCTTTTGATATTTGCTTCCAATTCCCGACAGTGTGTCCCTTGGTCTTTCTCTTTTCCTTTTTCCCTTCTGGATTTCAAATTGCCACTTGCTTTGTGATGCAATTTGATTTCCAGAGTGAATGTGCTATCCAATTCCATCTTTTTTTCCTAATTTCCTCTTCATCTGGAAGTTGGTTTGTTCTCTTCCATAGTAGGCTGTTGCTGATGGCATTCGGCCAACGGAGTGATACACTACACTGTTATCATAATTATGAAAATAAGAATGAACTTGATGACCGAGTGGATAATACTACTAAATTAGATATTCGAACTATACGCTATACAGAGACTAGATCATGTTATATCAAATAAATGATTCACGACTAAAAATAAGGAACCAGTGTAACTTTAAATGATACTTCATTCCACACAGTTACAAGCAGTCACTTTCAGCAAGTCCAGAGTAGAAATCAATTAAAAGAAAAGAAGCTAAGTATCCATTTGTCCATAATCGGTGGCTAATCACATCTACCTCAACTGGCTCACATTAGTTTGCTATTTTGAAAATAAATATATCTTATTCAAAAATGGCGAAGTCTACTGTGCTAATTGATCAATCTTACGTTAGGAATTTAAAGCACCACAGATGACTGAAATATTCAAACGAAATATCATTTGTAATATGTTATCAGCTTCGCTGATTAACAATTAAAATTACCATTTATATGAATAATAATAATGTGTAAACTTATAAGGTTGTGGAGACTTGTAATAATCTGAAATTCTGTTCATTACTGGTGTGGCGATAAATTTTTAAATTTCTTACGAGAGGTTGTTGTTAACAATATATATTCAACCATGTTTACATTAAAATACTTAGCTTTAACCGAAAACATAAGGTGTAGTATTTGTTTAGCATCAGAAATTAACTAACGCTAAAAAGGTCAGACGGTTGTGTGATATTGACTACACTATTATAACACTAATACTAGTGTAATTCTGGCTGCATGACTCAAATGTTGTGTGTTGGTTTTATGCCGTTTGATGTCGTTTATAAATATTATCGAGTAAAAATCAAATTAGGATGCATATTTCTATTCATTGCTACTTCAGGTAATATTACTTCTTAGTGACTTTCGCGTTCAATGTTTTTTGTTCGGTTTAGTAAAATAATGTGGTGGCAAGCGATTCGGTGTATATACAGACAGCGTTTAGAAACGGTGGAGAGAGAGATTATATCTCACTTATTTATTTAGCCACTTATTGTAGGAGGGAAAAATGCTCAATGCAAATCTAACAGTTTTCGGCTCATTTATCTGGACATTATGGGTGCGCTCACCAAACTGAAGATTTCGGCTTCGATTGGTGGTAGTGAAGTTGCAGATTCGTAGGTCTTAGGAGTTGAACACTTAGACAGAACAGCTGTTCATTGCTTCCATGTTTTCAATGGTTATCTAATTTAGATCAGTTCGTGATCTCAATAAAATTTCAAAATGTGGAACGTCTCGCTAACTGTTGTACTTGTAGCTCAGTGGATGTGTTACGATTGTTACCACTTTTTTAAAGGCATAAGTAAATATTTATAAAAAGTGTTTTTTTTTAACAGAAACATTTGAAAGTCGATTGCAGTAATGACGAATCAATTTTCCACTGAATAACAAATACAATAACTTTTATACTTTATATCTTGTTAAGTAGTGGACATATAAAACTGTAAATAAATATGTATTCACACTTTTCAAAATGTTTAATTTACAATTAATAATTCATTTGCATTAACTCATTCAACGGTGAATTTCATCTTTTTAAAAATACAAAAATAAGAGGATGTTATTTCAAGCTTACACAATATTGATCAAGCAGATTTTTTTGTGAAGGGTGTGTGTATGTGACTGTAAGGCGCTTTAAAAATGGAAGTTTGTTCGTTTAATCCCAACTTGTTTATAGCGTTGTCTTTGTTGTTACGGTTCAACCAATTCATCGTGTATTAGTAATAAACTCTCATTTTCTAGGCTGTTGTTGTGTCGTCTAAAAAAACGAAATATTCAATTGATATAATACTTCATACACGTTATTTATAAGTATATAATAATCGTCATATTATTTTAATGGATTTTTAAAATGGATGGCAATGCATATATTAGTGAACGTTATGCGTAAAGCTTTTCGTAAATTTGAATAGTAGCGTTTTTTCCCTTTTTGAAAGGGTCGTCAGTTGCATGCACCTGTGTCCCACAGTTGATATTTACACAGAAACTAAAAGCTAAAATCTTTCGCTTTAAAACATACAATACTGTCTCTTGGCCTTATAAGTAAATGTAGTTATCTCCGGAACATGTATTACCCAACGATTTTGTATTGTGAAATATTTTATTCTTTCAACCCTATTGGTACATATCGTATCAACGATCCCACTCAAAATTATCGATTCGGTCAACTCAATCATTTCAGTGTTTCAGTATCATTTATCTACTTGGTTGTCATAATAATAATAATAATGATAATAATAATAATAATAATAATAATAATAATAATAATAATAATAATAATTATTATTATTATTATTATTATTTCAAAACGGTTTCAATGTAAATTAAAAATACCATGAATTAGCATTTGTCAAGCTACACTGATAAGATTAAGTATCTATCACATTTGTCATATTTGAGTACATTGACAATACTTTATGTGACGCTTTAGATATTGTTTACCTTTTATTATATAACTAAGTCAGTGAAATATGTAATTAACTTATTACATAACAATTCCCAGTTCAATTAAATTGAATGTTTTTGCTCTTTTTAAAGCATACCTATATGTGTGGTGGTTTTTCTGGCGTAGTCCTTGAAGTAAACACTTCCATTGTTTACGTATCACTTGGATCAAATATTTGTGATTGGGGTTCAGTTTATTTAGATGAATATGGAGAAGAAGATTTAGAATTAAAGTAAGTTTCCATTTCGCTTTAAATGTTACAAGAAATAAATTTCCTAGTTTATTTAAGTTCAGTAATCTATATCATAACTGTAGTGTGGAATAGCTCTCTGATATGTTACCCAGTGCATACGGTAAACTATGAAGATGATAAATTTTATCAGCTTAAAATTTACACAATCTACATTGAGTCACACTATTCATTCGATAAGTAGTAAAACTACCTCGTGTGCATAAAACTCAGTATATAGATCAAGGTTCAAACTTGTGATATCTTGGTTAAAAGTTGATTACCTTAATGAATAGTCAATTACTGTATCACTGTATACTATAACTATCGGTACTGTATACGTCACTGCCAGTCTAGTTACACAACAGCAATATAACAGAAGCAATGTATTATTTGAAATATTATCCGAAGCTATTCATGTAGACAGATAAAACCTTATATTTTGCGTCATGCGTTCATTTCATGCTCTGTGTATCAAAATTTTGGTAACGAGGTAATACCGGCCATTTGGAGCTGTTGAGAATACATGAAATACGATAAATTTATATTATTCTACAAATCTTGTCCTTATCTTTTCTTTGCTATCATTAACTTTTACATGAAACGGATTATCTTCTTAGTATATTGTATTTTCCGTAGCAAAAGTTTCATTTAATTCAGGAAATCGATTTGACATTCATTCATAAATTACAATAGTGCTCCCGACATTCATTATAGTAATAGGCGTCAGTTTATGTTCTCTAGCTATATGTCAAGTCCCAGGAAGGTGTAGTCAGCATGAAACCCAAACCTATGTTTCGTACTTATTAGCACTCGTCAGCAGGTCATACATGCAATATTCTATGGTCCTGCGTCAGCCCAGCCTAGTAACATAAGAGATTAACCCTGAGTTATTCAAGTTGGTATGTGTCATTTTATTGTTTAAAAGCCCATAAATTTCCCATCAAAATTTTGAATATACCCATATCCGAAAAGTTACATTAAGAGAACAATGGTGAAAGAATAAATAGTAGCTGTTAAGTGTTGATCAATTGTGTAGAATCAATGTATTAACTATAATTTATTGACATCATATGCGAACAATAAAGCGAACGTTTGCAAATGCCGTCAAGGTGTTTGACTTACTCTCATTTAAGCAAAAGATTTGCGCGCGCTAAATCTTTGTGAAGAGAAAAAGCAACCGAACATCGCTCTGGGTGGGGGGCGGTGTAAATCTTCACTATATGTGTTCTATATTAGGACAAAACGACTGTTCAGTACGTCCTAGTTTTCAATGTCTACCTAACTAAATTTGCTCCGTGATGTACCTCATTGTTCCCTTGTAACCTTTTCGAAAAAAATAACGTTAATCCCCTACTTTTCCATTTGTCGTTATCTAATTACTAGCTTCTACAAACTAATTAAGATTAACCATAAAAAATTTACTATTTCCAACTACAATCTATGTTATCAATTTGGAAAATTCATTGGCTTTTTACATCGATACAATATAGTAGAAGTATATTCAATTTTGTTATTGTTAGTAGTAGTATGTGTTTACTATCCGTTAATTTTTTATTCGAGTTTGTTTACGTTATACTTTTTTTAAAATACATATTAGGTATATGCATTTACTCAAATTGTAAATTAAAATGAATTTCGATTCGTATCAAAATACAATTCTGTTGTCTAACTTTTCTCTAATATGTGACCTGTTTCTAACTTCGTCTATAAATCTATAAATCTGTGTATAGATATGATACATGTATATGTGTTTTTGGTATATCATTTTATTTTACAGACGTGGGAAACCATTATTCTTAAATGCTGAACGATTTGCCCTCTTAGAAAATCAATGGATCACTCATTCATTTCGTCATGTATTAAAAAATTGGCGATCTGTTTGAAATAAAATCAAAAGAAGAACAGAACACACCGACATACAAACACAAAAAACTATATGTGAGTATCAATGTCACAATTCACCTTCATTAACATAATCTACTATTATTGTACATGTCAAGATATCTTCTGTTAAAACAGCTGTCGGATACACATGAATATCAAAGTAACTACTTGAATTCATTCTTCAATGATTTTCATTAAAGTTCTTTATTGAACAATAATCGACAGCGTATATACATGACTATCAAAACAGAATTATACACACAATCAGTCCTTCTTGAATCATGTTCTTAACACATTATGCTAGAAACTTTCTACACATATTTCTGCTGTTTGTTGGCGTTTTAGTTTGTATTGTGAGATACGTAGCTGAAAACTACAAGAAACTGGCAACTTAATTAAATGATATTTATAAATATAGGTTAACGCGTCCCCCTCCTCACCCATCAATGCTTTGGATATACACATACACATGTTATATATATATATATATATATATATATATATATATATATATATATACTTATGTCTAATTATTGTTGGTTTTCGAATACTCACTGTCGAACAACAGAGATTGTTTGGGTTTTTGTGATATAAAACAAAAAAATAAAAAGAATTCGTCACAAATAGTCTACCATCGTTTCATTTAGGTTGTTGTACTCGTATTTTGTTTAGTTTTGACAGCGTTCATTTCATCATTTATCTCAATATTTTCTTTGACAATTATTATATAATCCGTAAAATTGCTTTTGAAATGTGCATTGAGCTTGATACAATTAACATGGAATCGAGTATATATATATATCGTTTGTTATTGTTACTTAAGTGATATCAACGTCCTTTTTGTGATTAATTTTTTCTCTACATTACTGTTTGTTTTGTTTCCTACTAATTCATTGTTCATTGCATTTCACTGTTTCACACAAATGACATACATATACTTTCGAATTGTGCATGAATATATATATATATATCATGAGTATTCAGCTACGCAATATTCAGATAATTATCTTCTTTGAATAATTGTGAGACTCTCTGTGTTCCTTCCAGTTGTAGTAACACTACTTTTTCTTGTATAAAGAGTAATAATAATCAACATAATTATTACTGTGAATTCCGGCTAACTCACGTCAACTGCACCTTTCATTTCATGTCAATTAGGAAAAAAAAATAGAATACTCATCAATACATATTGATTCTCTAAGTGATCTTAGGATGTGTTATGTAACTACCGTGTGTATTTGGAATGCCTTATTTACTAAGCATTAAGTTTGCCATCCATCTAATCATTGAGTTATTGTTGCGTAACATAGTCCTCTGATATTGACTTATCTTTCGAACAATTCATCTTATTTCCATATGTTTTGTTTAAAATAGCATACATGTGAATATATATCACACACTACACATATTCTCTTGCTCTCTCTCTCTCTTGCTCCTATTTATTCTTCTTTCAAATTCATAATGATGTTTGTTTTAATATATAAAAAAAAATTTGACACAAGGTAAATCATAACCCTCTTAATTTTAATTTACCCTAAATTATTCGATTCGTTTTCAAGTGTTCAGTGTTTAGTATTATTTTTCTAATTTATTAAATTAGAAAATCTGGACGAGTTTTATAACAACCACCAAGATAAATATCGAATCGTTCAAAAAAATTAACTTTCATACGAAATAGTTAAGAGATGAAAAGAGAAAGCCAAAAAAATAAAAAGATAAAATATAGTCTTGATAACTTTCTTTTTATTACGTCACTCTATATTGCACATTGAATTATTACGATTGAAACTAACATAATTGTTTTTCTCATTATATCATTTCAAATTCTTCTCCTTTAAACGTTCATTCAATTAATTTTAATTTCATTATACACAACAGATATGTCGCTTAATGATTTTATATATGTTTACTAACTAAATGAGAAATGATTAATATTTAGTGTTGAATTTTTTTTCTTCACTTTACTACTTTAAACTGTCCCATTCTCCATTACTCCTGTTATGTAAACAGCGATGGAAGGTCATAATGTTATACTTTGTATTTGAATAGTAATGGTGTCAGTGTTAAAAGGGTTAATCTCATACAAACTTGTGATCATGTGTCAAAATGAAGCATTTCTAGCACATATTTATTGAAATCTTTTCATAGAAAATAATTGTATAAAAATAGGTCAAGTACAGTTTGACTTTATTGAGTA